CTTATTTAGAAATCTCAATTATTTCCGAGGGTGCTAAGATTAAAAAAACATATAGCATTTATTCAAGCATCTTTGAAAATATTTGACACATTAAAGAAAATTAGACTGTTGATTCAACTTAAAGCAAAACTTCACTAAACTGACTGGTATACAAATGTGTCAAACACTGGGGAAGATGCTGGGAGACACTGTTACTAAAAACCTCATAATTTTAGTGTTACTGGATATCTTGAAAATTTGTGCATTTATTATCTAATGTTATTTTTTACATCCCTCTCCCCGCTCCTTGTAGCTAGGCCGGAGGGTAACATTGAAATATTAAATAGAAACCTCTATTTTTTATTGCAGATTCGGATCCTATGGCTGAAAGTACGTAGGATTTGTCTGAAACATTTTTTTCGATTCATGATAGATGGCGATTTTCAATTTCTCCTATACACAAGTATGATTCTGCAATACGTTCATTGCAAATAATCAAAATTAGTCTTAAAACAAATTTTATTTCTAAAATTTGTAATTACTGAAAAACGGTTTGTCAAGAAACTACTATTATCGTAACCCACAAACAGGCGTCCTTTTAGGGGTTCTTGGTCAACGCGATCTGCTTTTATTTTTTTTTTGTTTTGAGGATATCATTTTTTTTCTTAAAAATAATGTTAAAAAAATATTTTATCTTGTTTATGTTGTTTTATCCTTTCATCGTTTTTTTTGTGACTGCAAAAACACAAAATAAACGTAGAAAAAAGAAACAATTTTAAAAAACGAGTCATTTTAATCAAGCACCTCGAAAGGAACAGAAAACTACTATGTCCATGTTGTTGTTCCTAGTTACGCTAAAAGTAGTTTATTCACCAGCCATTTACATTTCTACAATTTCCGAGTTATTCGAAATTCACAAAACGATTAAACTTTTTGGCGACGAATTTCGAGTATTTTTTATTGCAAACACATTGCAGAATCGCATACATAGGTTCTCAGTAGGCGAAATGGAGAAAAGTTTATTTCGACGTTTACAGCGCCATCTTACATGAATCGAAAAGAATGTTTCAGACAAATTCTACGTACTTTTAGCCGTATAATTCGAATCTGCAATAAAAATGGGGGATCTTATTTAAGATTTCAAAGTTACTCCCTTCCCATCTACAAGGGGTGGGGGGAAAAGAACAATTTTAGCATTAATGTATTAATGATATGATTAAATTTTGATTAGTGGCATTTTTGCGTAGGGTGCTTATTTCTGAATAAAAATTTTTTATTTTTTTGCGAATAGGGCGAATAGTTCCAGAATGATTATAATCAGTTGCATATAATCAGTTGTGTGGTGAGCTATTTTAAGTTTAAAAAAATTACAATTTGAAAATGGCTCGTTTTTCGTATATGAACGATATTTTGTTGAAAGTAAAATTAAGCAGTAAAAGAAAATTTTCAAAATTTTAATATTCTCAGTGGCAGTCGTTCCAGTGTCTTCTCCAGTTGCTAATAAAGTCTCCCGTTATTTTTTTATTATGGCACTATGAACTTTGGTTTGCATTCAGAGAAGGTGATTGTCTAACTTTTAAGACTGACAAAATTTTCTTTCTACGAGAAATCTGCCTCAGATTTTCTAGCTTCTGCAAAATATTCTTTAATAAATGTAACGCTTTCGTTACCATTAGTTTTTGTTACTGGAACATTAATTTATACAGGGTGAATCAGAACTTATCAAAAAAAAAAATCTGGATGTACAGGGGACCGTTACAAATACAATTTTGTAAAGAAAAAATCAAAAAGGTCAGTTCGAAATTGATTTAAAAATACACTTCTGCACGGCACTGGAAACTGGTCCACTGTAAAACCTGACCTCGCACAATGCGACGGTATGGGGGCGTGATAAAAACGGACAAAAACTTTCGCAAGGAAAGAAATATGTAAATAGAATTTTATAGCACCTATTTTATATCGGCAAATTCAAATGATTTTGCCTTTATTAATTATTAATAAAATTAATTTGTGTTTTTAAATAATAAAATCATTTGACATACCCGATGCTGCAACAGCAATTGTTCAAAATTTTGTCCCCTCACGTGTAAACACATTTGGGTCCGTCTTACTCACTTTCTACGAACTAACACAAATAATGTCTTGCTTCACCATAACACAAATACTTCACCATAATACAAATGTTGTCTTGCTTCACCATAAATTAAAACGATATCCATCAACTTTGAGTTGCTATACACGCAAGCCATTTTTGACACTAACTACTAAAAAACTGATGTAAATACCACAGATAACAGGTGAAAACTACCGCAACGACGGATTTCAGTATTAGGAGTCACATGGCTCTCCACGCGTATTGCGAATGACGCTAGAGACTACAGTTGTCCAGCTATGTAGTGGTTGAATGTACTATAACTTCAATATTTTTTTTCTTAGAAACAATAAGGATTTTACAAAAATTTTTTTTTTACAATATTGACTCCATTTCTGATGCCGCATCTATTCCCAATTTTTTTTGGATAAGTTGTGAATCACCCTGTATATGTTTACTGTTTTCTATATGTCATTTTATATAGCAATAGTTTACATTTGATTACACTTATTCATATCCAGAGTGTGCAAATATGGTGTTTGGTTATGGTTTTTGTAATGAGAATGCTAATGCTGCCCTTGAAGAATATCGTCAACGGTTTCCACATCATTGATGTCCTGATAAAAATCTATTTATCTGATTTTTCAACAAACTGTGCGAAACCGGCAAGCTTTCCAGTGCAATATTCTGGATTTAGTAGATGATGCAACCACCAGGTCACAAACAATTGCTACTCAATTGGGCATTCCGCAAAAAGAGTAACAAAAATAAGAAAATCTTCACGCAACACTGGAAAGTAATTTTTAGCATAGGTTTTCGGTAAACGTGTGGTGTGGCTTGATCGATAGTTATTTAATTATTTTGGAGAATCGACTCACAGGAGACCACTACTTATATTTCTTAGAAGACGTTCCTATAAACATGAGAATGCAAATGCACGATGGAATTCCTGCACATTTCGCTCGTCCAGTCAAGCTACATTTGAACGAGAGGTTTCCAGAGCGTTGGATTGGCTGCGGTTGCGTGGTCCTATCATCAATACTGCTAAACTTAAATACAGGCATACAACAATCAACAGATGCCCTTTGTAGGCGAAGCAGAAGGGTCAATGGTGGTGTTTTTGAACATTTAATCAAAGAATTAATATGAATAATAAATTATTTTTTTTATTGAAATGTACGTCATACTTTGAAAAAAAATGAAAACCGCATAACAACATTTTTTTTCTTTTTTCTGATTATTTTGACGTGTAGAATCCACTCCTGGAGTTTGGTGCGATTTTCCCTACTCACCCTGTATATTTTTTAATTATTGGAAGCCAAATTAATATAGTTATTGATTGTAAACGTTTTGTTTCTTTACTGATTGTAAGACATTTTAATAGAACAACTAAATTGAATTGAAGTAAATTTTAATTACTTAGTCCCTGCTATGGATATCACCGAAATAATTTAAGTGCCCTTTGGCACAGACTTTGTTATTAACGTTGGTATGTCACGACTATAACCTTCAATAAAACGGATTAGTTATTCTATAGCTGCAACCAACATCAGTATATATTTCCGTATTACGTGGTCTAACATAGATACGGGGCCAGAATTAAGCTAAATATTTACTGTACCGATCCTATCCATTAGTTTAATGAACAGACAATTATCGAGGTATTATGTCCAGGGCCATTGCTGAAACGGCCAATTACGTAACAGGTAACTTTCCTGTTCTAGGAAGCTGATTCAGCTGGTAATTCTATGCTAGATGCACAATTCTGTGGGGGCACACAAAACGAACAAATTTTAAATAATACTAGAGGCTTTTAAATATTTATCTGCTAGGTAAGCACTCTGCAGCAAATAATATATAATAATGTAAATTTGCAGGTATATTTCATAAATAACACCAACACACAAAAAAACTAGAGTGGTAGTGCTAATCATTTTGATGTCAATAATAATCGATAAAACACACTCGTAGTTAAAGTTTGGCTCCTAATATTTATAGTTGGCCATTTTAATGAATAGAATATCAGACACACAGGCAAAAAGGTCAAACCCAAAGTTCTGATATATCATTTCCGACGTATTTTGATGCTCAGAATTGCCCAATCATAATCCAATATTGATTTTACTCTATACATATAATATCTGACAAGATTTCCGACGTATTTTGACCAGCTGAAAACGATACAGTAGTCAGAATTTATGCATAACCGACCAGTGTTTTGTAAAATCTATATTTAGAGTGAAAGCAGACCCAAAAAGCGCTCAATTTAGCTCAAAGGAGTCTTCGTTTTGCTCACACTAACGAGATTATGGTCAATCTTTGATTCTAGAATAAGTAAGATATTTCTTACTCTTTTGTTTTCAAATGATCTGCGAAGAGGATGTCGCCAATTGGAGGTATGCTAGTTGCAAAAACAGAAAAAAATAAATGATATATGATATTCGAACAGAACAAAGAAACCTCTGTATGATTCCTAACGACTCTAAGAAAAAATCACCAAGGGTGGGTGTAGGAAAGTGTCATGTCGAAACGATATTCCTACCTCAACTGAGCAAACTTTGTGCGAAAATTGCGTCCTGCTCTTATGTGAATTGCAAGTAATTGTAACTAATGCTTTGTGTATACATTTGTAATTTTTTTTCTCATAAAAATTGCGAATTTCATTCTTACATGAAGCAGTCTTAATGTAACAGCGATATGGAATTCATGTATTTCTTAATCTATGTATAATGATGGATTTGAGACGATGGATTAGAGCAAGTATAAAATTTTAGATATCAAGAAAAATTTAGTACATCACATGGTTCATAAGATCCTCTTTGATCTGGAAGGTCAAACCTCTTCACTCACAAAAAAGTACACCTCCCCGTCCTGTAATATAAATAACTATTTATGATGTTCCTACATTAATTGTTGTTTTCTGTTTCAGTATACTCTTATGACCGAATTAAGAGAAATAGTAGCCGTCGAAGATCGCGTTAGATTCGATGAATTAGTTTATAGAAGAGATGTCGATTCCACGAGAACTCGGGATCCAAGAGAACATGATTACAGGCATTCCAGGGTAAGTCTAAATAAAATTATATCAGAAATAAAAATGTGATTAAAGTGTTTAATAATGACTGTTGAAAAAGCGATCCGTCAGATGAGTTTTTTGGGAATTAAGATGATTAGTTGATTCATATTGACAACACATCTAATTTTCGAAGGAATTCGATGCGCTGAACATCAAAATTTATGACTTTCCAATGAATTTAGAAAAAAAGTGAAATTTTGGGTGAAAACGCCCAAATATTTTTTACTGATTTTTTCTAAATGTTGTCCAAAATGTTGTCATTTTCGTAGTATTTTGGTGAGTTGAAAACAATGTCATTAATAAATTTTACCCGTGACCTCGATATTTCCACTATTTGGGTGAAAACTGGCTAAAATACCACGAAAATTATATATTTGGACAAAATCAATTTTGACCAATATTTGGAATATGAATTTTCTGAGAAATATGTAGAGGTCATGGGTAAATTTTACTAATAATAATAAATCGTATTCAGCTCCTCAAAATACTGCGAAAATGATATATTAGGACATTTAGGAAAAAAACAGTTTTGACCCATATTTCACTTTTCTGCGAAATTCATCCACAACTCATGATTTTTTACTACAGGATCATGTTCAGTTTAGACTTTTTTTTGTACGCCTGTGTAATATAATAAATTATGCGAATGTATTTTTTTAACAGTAGTTGAAGAAATATTTTCAAGAAAATTTTCTCACTTTGCACCTGGAATCATCTCGAACAATTTTTTTATGTTTAACATTTATTCAGGGTGTTTGGAAAAGTTGGTACAAAATTTAAGGAGTTGAAAATAGAGCCAAAAATAGTAAGAAAAGTTGCTATAAACATTGGTCCTCCGGAGCACCGTTACTGAGATATGGCCCTCCAAAGGAGTCTTATCATTTGGATATTTTTTAAAATAACTTTCTTTCTGATTAAGATAATGGAATGAACATTGTAGGTAATAATTATACCATAAGGGTCTTTAACTATCATAAGTTTAATCAAAATCGGTTATAAATAAGGATAATTTTCTATTGAAGAAAAAATGTCCCTATTTTTTTTTCGAATTCTGCGTAGTTTAGTCAGACATAATTATTTTTTAAATAATGTATGGCTCAGAATTTTTTTAACATTTTCACATAGTAGGCATCTTTCATGGTGACAGTTTCGTTGTAATGATACTAATGATTGTCACTTTCGCGTACTATCATTTAAATCCTTACGTTTCTTTATCTTCTTAGTTGTGATATTTGTGCATGACTTTGCATTTCATCGATTTTTTTACAACCATGAACCATCATGAGCAGACGCTCTTCTTACACTCTCAGTAGGATTACGCTAAAAATATCCTAAAATTACTTCATCTAAATCATACCTACGGCTCCTTTGATGGACAAATTCACGATGTCTTGGAGTTAGGGTTCTTGATTCCATCGTTCTTTCATGAATTTTTCCAAACAATTTTGCAGAAGGTTGCCTTCTATCAGGGAAACGTTGCCGATACTCTTCTTGAGCTGCCAGACTATTTCCATTACAGAAATTATAAATAAAATGCATATTGCCATATACACGGTTAGTAAAAACATGATGGTTCATGGTTGTAAAAAAATCGAATGAAGTGCAAAGTCAAGCACAAAGATTACAACCTTAACGTAAGAATTTAAATGATAGCACGTGAAAGTGACAACCATTCGTATCATTACACGAAACTGTCACCATGTGAAAATGTTAAAAAAAAGTTACTGTTCTGAGATATACATTATTTCAAAAATAATTATTTCTGACTAAACTACGCAGAATTTGAAAAAAAGTAGGGACATTTTTTCTTCAAAAAAGTCTAATTTATTAAAAAATAATATTCGAAAAATTTCTGTTAAGGGTAGTTAGAAAACTATCCTTATTTATAACCGATTTTGATGAAACTTATGATAGTTAAAGACCCTTATGGTATGATTTTTACCTACAATTTTCATTCTATTATTTTAATGAGAAAGAAAATCATTTTAGAAAATATCCAAATGATAAGACTCCTTTGGAGAGCCATATCTCAGTAACGGTGCTCCGGAGGACAACTGTTTATAGGAACTTTTTGTACTATTTTTGGCTCTACTTTCACCTCCTTAAATTTTGTACCAACTTTTCCAAACACTTTGTATATAATATAAGTTGGTGCTTTTTTATAGCAATATAAAAAAATCGCTTCACTAATGGTACCGGAAAATTAAAGTATAAAAAAAATAAGTCGTAACCATTGGAACTTGGAAATGACGGAAACGTTGTATTTGAATCGTATACAAATTAAGACAATAAAAGACTCTGTCCAATACAGAAAATGAGGTACGGGTATTAAATGGGGGCAAAGTTGTAGTACAATATGAAATTTCTGATTAAGTTCTACTTTCTACCCGCACCGCATAGACGTCTAAATAAATGAAATATACAACCCTTTAATTTAGTAGGAAGAGGAGTAGGGCAAACTGAATTTATACACTTGTTTTACTTTAATTCTAGCTGTGTCAATTATTTAAATATTTCTAACAACCATAAGAAAATAATGTATATATACAGGCTGAGTCAAAATTCAGTTCAAAGAATTTACGGGCGTTTTTTTGAGATCAAAATAATATTTTTCCTATATATAAGTCCGAAGGTTTTTTAGGATGCTAAATTTAAATATGTCATTGCTTTTAAAAAGAATTAATTCATTGAAGCTACTAAAAAAGACGATACAAAAATGGTTATTAATTACGCTACGTGAAAAGATACACCTAATAATTGATTATATATTATATATTATTCTACTATATTCTCCAGACGATATACCAAACAAAATTGCTGTTATGCTCTGTTCATAATTTGACAAATAATTAAAAACCATTGTTCAGCCCACGCACAAGTTTACTTTTGTGGGCTTCTCTATATTTATTTTGTCCTTTTAGTGTACTTGTCATGTGTCATCTGACTTATGTTTCCTCATTTGTCATTTGTAAGAAGTGATGCCTATAAGGGTACGCTTCAATTAACTTCGCTCTAAATTTTTTACCACCCTGTACATTGACGTTTCGTGTTAGTGCGTTTATTTCCCTATCAATTTTAAGCAAAAGAGGTATCCTTGGTCGAAATCTCTCAGAACAACCGTTTCCGAGATATTGCCTGGTGAGGGTAAAATCAAATTATATTAAAGGTTCAATAAAATTGGGAATTTTTATTGTTTTTTCTTTTGTAATATTCTGTTTTCTGCCTGTATCGTTTCTAAGAGTCTTAGATTTCAACAAGTTTGACAGAAAACCCCTAAGAATAGTTGTCACACTAAGCAGTCATAGCCTACTATGTCTTTTTCTACGTATTTTGATAATGACAATAGGTACTACTGTTTTGTCACCACTGATTTTCTCTAAAACGGTTAGTTGTAGACAAAAAAATGTAAAGAGCTAAAATTCAAGAATTGCATTACTGATTAGATGGTGAAAATAAATTTTAAAATATTTCATCGTAAATAGTTAATAAAAATTGAAAATATGATGTGCATTTAACTCTCCATCAGCCAATATCTCGAAAATGGTTGGTTGAGATATTTAGACCAATAATATCTTTGTTGCTTAAAATTGATAGGGAAATAAATGCATTAATACGAAACGTCAATATACAGGGTAGAAAAAAATTTAGAGCCAATTTAATTCAAGCGTACTCTTATAGGTGGCGCCCTCTATAAGCAGCGTTAAAACCAATAACATATTTAAATGTAGCATTCTAAAAAAACTCCCGTACTGTAACTTGTATGCCAACATTAAAATCTATTAAAATTATCCCCAAAAAATCGAAAAAATAAAAAACTTTAACATCCTGTATATCGAAAACTAAGCATTTGTGGACTCACGTTAATAGGACAAAAAAAAGTTTCATTTTGTCCTCAAAAATAGGTCCCTAAATTCTTTGTACTGAATTTTGAATCACCCTATATAGACTTACTACCTAGTTCCATATTTTTTACGGGAAGAACAAATACAGGCTGTTATATTATTGGTTGCATAATGTTATGGGAGAACCGTTTTTCCTTAGTAGCAGAGATGTAAGGGACAATTGGTATCTACTTTTTTATATTGAACAAAAAAGAAAATAGCTCTGTGGCATTTTTAATAAATGGTTTATTTTTCTAAATGGGCTTCCTAACAGACAGAAAGAATAAAAAGGATCATAGACTGGTTTCAAATTTTACCGATATATTGTATTAGTAAGAAAAAAATTAGTAGTCACATTTAAAGCTTATTGGAGTTTGGCAGCTAATGAAGAAAAGATGCATACTCAAGGAAATAATAGATTTTAGAATTAATGTTATTATCAAGATTGTATTTTTTTTAAATACTATAACATTTATAACTTACAAATGTTTATAGCAAATTTTCTTGGAAATGGTGCAGATTATCGAGATCGATCAAGAGTATGTTTTTAATACTCTTTAATATTCCCTTTAATTATGATTCCTTTGACCAAAAATAACAAGGCCAATTTTTTGAGTTAAAAACTACTATTCCATGAGATTATTGCGAACGATAATCTAATCAGCTGTACCAAGTGTGATTTGAATATGATTAGTCATTTTAGAGTTACTTAAAAAAATACTCTAACGGTACGTAGGTATTTATCACCATCCATTTTTTTTTATTAAACGTCTTTGAACACATGCTCATAAGAAGCTTTTCGCTTATAACGATTTAAAATTTTCTGTATCCCTGGAACAGAATACCTTTATTTAGAAACACCCTCTATAGTGTGTCCATTCCTCCGTACCTCTAGAGCAAGGGCAGGCAACTGGCGGACCGCGGTCCAGATCCGGACCGCGAAAGGTAAAATAATGGACTCCAAAACATTTTTTGAAAGTATAAATTACTCTATTAAATTATTTAAAAAATAGTTTTCTACTGATAATAATACGTTTGAGTGCACCTTATCATTTCTACTACAATTGCGTAATTGATTTGAGTTCTTAATGATTAGTAGGTAGATTAAATTTGTGAGTGCAAAGTAAAATAAAAAATTAGTAAGGAATGTGTTATTTTTGTGGATTTCGTTAAAAATTTTCAAAAGTATCCGGACCCCACCTAAAATTACTTGCCGACCCCTGCTCTAGAGTCTAAAGATATTCCGTATTAATTTGTTAAATTCACTTTCTGATTGAAGCTTGAACTGCGTACACTGCGAACAAGGAATAATTATTTATTAAAATAAATAAGTAGCAATTACTTCCTGTGTAGCATTTTCATTAATATCTCAGATCTTGATTAAGAAAGTTATTCAAATACTAAACTTCTGAAAGCTATAAAACTTCGTTGGGATATGTTATAGCTAAAATATAACGTTGTAGCCCAGTGTAGCAAAGTCTCAAAAGAGACATACAAGATGTAAATACTTTAAAATATTAGAATTGTGCTTCTAGAAAAGGAGTGTCTTATTTTTAATGGACTGCTCTGTATAATTTGAGTCAATGAGAATTTTTTAAATTTTTAGAATTAATATGAAGCATAATATTATTAAAGTAACTTATAAGAGCTAATAACAAATAAAAAAAATGTAAAAGTCGAATATGACTTAACACTTTATAGATAAGATTATTTTTACTCAAAAATTGACTAACCGATTTTGTTTATTTTACAGAGAAAAGGAATACCAATCCCAGATGCCAATCATTCGATATATACCGGATATCACGAGGTAATGTATAACGCTTTCTGTGTATGTATATACATATAGATGTTAGTTGTGTGTCTGTGTTGGGATTAACTTGTACATAATTTTGATTTATAAACTGATAGATATATGTGGTGCTTGATGCTGCATTTCATATTCCGTGTTATGTAGTAAAAAATATCTTTAAATTGCGAATAAATAAATACACTATTAAAATGAATCGATTAAATATGTGGTATCCTCTTAAATATTCGTGCGCTCACCTTATCCATATTTTCTTAAAATCTTAGACGACCAACATTACATTTTAAAAACTTTTCTAACTAAAGCAGCTGAATAAGCAAATAATATCTACTTATAAATATTAAACTTTTTCAAACGCCATATTCAACTTCTATTGTAACGTAATAAATAACAATAGTAAATTTGTCTATAAAAATTACTATAAAAATTTAGAAATAGATTAATAAAGTATAATAATGACGAAATAAAGTTTTTAATGTATTTATAACATACGCTGCGCCGCGCCGTATCGATCATTATTTACTTACTTAGGCAACCAACAATACACGACTGCTTTGTCGGATAATATAATATTTATGAAGTCAGGCTTTAGTAACTGGACACGTGTTGTGCACTTGACTAATAATTTATGTTGAAATATTTAGTAATACTATTTACTAATACAATTCTCTGCAAATATGTCAGTAAAAATGAATGTGTTCTATTTATTGATCACTGGAAGTGAGTTCAATTATGCTTCTTTCCGATAGAGCGCAGCACTTATATCTCGTCTATAATAAGTCGTTAAATAATTGTGACTAAGTATAGGGTGGCAAAGCGAAACTTGTCTTCAGTAGGGTCTTAACTGATCCACTGTAGCGAATGATGAACAAGGGATATGATCTATTGATTAAATTCCGCTTGCCGACTGACGATCGCAACCGTCTTTCGGTAAATTCCTGACGCTACCTGAAGACGAAAACATTTAAAAGTTAATAAGAATGATCTTCTGATTTACTGCAAAATAATTTTTATTTAGATTAACTCTGATTTATCTGTGACAGTATTCAAATTCATGTTCAGTATATTTATAGTTTTCTTTTCAAATTTTACCTTTGATTTTCAGTTGATGTTGATAAGTCGATATACCTCGAGTGCTTTGTCAGCTTTGAATAATTTTGAATTGAACCAGAATGCTATACAGGGTCTTTGTAAATGAGTGCGAAATATTTTAGGAGGTGGTTCCCGTTCCCGAAGTTATTTTGATAAAAAAAGTTCATATAAATAAACGTAGGTCAAAATATGCAATATGCTTCATTTTCGAGATAGAGAGTGTTTAAATTTTAATTTTTTATTTATTTTTATTAATAATTATAAAAATTTTTTAAAGATATTGACTCGAAAGTTGATGGTTGTATTTTATTTAGAAATATTGACAGCAACCTACTAGATAATGTATCAATATAGAAATTAAAAATATACAACTTGAAGTAAAATATGTTTTATTTTTTTCATCAAAAAACGGTGCATTATACGAAAAAAAAATGTAGAGACCAATTTCATTCAGAATTGTTGGCGAATTTCTAGAAAAATATCAAAACTGAAAAAATTCAATGGCGTACGATTTTTTTTTATTAAAAAATGGTTGTGGTATTCTCGCACAAACGCCACTGGTGCAAGTAAAAATATATATTCGAATCACCGCAAAAAATGCACATTTATTCCTCCAAACCGTTTTTCAAATTTCGAGTCAATATCTTTAAAACTCTGAAATAATTAGCAAAAATAAACAAAAAATTTAAATTTAAACACTGTATTTCAGAAACAAAGCATATTTCGACCTACCTTTATATGAACTTTTTTATTCACAAAATAACTTCGGCGACCACCCTCTAAAATATTTCGCACTTATTTACAAACACCCTGTATATTTACATCGCCCACAATCGCTACTCACTAGTTTTCAAGAACCAGGGTGTTGAATTAAATAAAATAGTACCTAGTACCCAAATAGGGCCTTTTCTAAAATAGTCAGTAGAAACATATATCTGTAGCTGAAATATTCGTAGTCACTTTCACTAAAAACCTCAGAAATTCCAGAGACAGTTTTAAGGTTTTTAGAGAAAGTGACTCCCGATATCTCCAGTCTCCACGACTGACCACATATTTAAATCCAAGTTCAGTAGCATTTTACTTTTAATTGGATGAATCGTTGGACTAAGTTTAGTCAATTTGTCAAAACTCTTCAGAAATATTGTAGAAAAGGCGACATTTATTTAAATATCAACATCCTGCATCCCAAAAACCATCGACTTGTGAACCTTATTGGCTTCAGAACACTCAATGAGTCACCCTTTGAAGTTAAATAACACCTTACATAAACGATAAATACAAAATTATTAAAAATCAGAGTAGTACTATGGAAAAACATGAATACTTTTAATTGTGAAGTACATTGAATTTGTTACATATTTACATTTATCTTCCTTTTTACGTAAGTTGTGCAAATTCTGACATATAGGTGTTCGCAATAAGAAAAGAAAAAAAAAGAAATTCTTGGTTATAATTAATTAATGTAAATAATTTAAGAATTAATCGAGAGAAAGAACCCCGCACAAAACATATGGAAATTGAACACCGGTCAATTTTTATGAAACTTCGTATTTTGATAGTCCTCGTCATGCCGATCAAAAGTCTCAATGGGCACGAAGCCCTACAACCCCTTACAACCCCCCAAAACCACCCCAAAATATCAGGGTAATGCACTTGACAGATTACAAGTAAATTGGCTTACGTAATATTTCACTACTGTAGTCGAACCTACAGATACCTAAACCATAACTAGGCTTAAGACTATCAATGGACACCGTGCCTTACGACCCCCACCAACTCCCCAAGCCCACCCCAAAGGTCAGGAGGATGCACTTGACAGATTATCGGTCAATAAAACTACTGAAATATTTTACTACTACAGTCGAACTTACAGCCACCCAAACTGTAACTAGGATTAAGATTACTATCTCCAAAAGACTTAACCCCCCATCCCTCTCCCTCCCCGCCAACTACCAAAGCCTGTCATGTGACTTTTCCCTGCTTACTGGTTGTGTTTAATCGTGAATTCCATCTCAAGCCACCTAAACGATCACTACTCTATACTCTCTGACGTCGACCCCCGACACTTGAACCACCCACCCCTAACCCCAATCCCACGATTGGGGTCGGACCAACCCCAGTTCTTATCAAAGCCAGACATGACTTCCCTGCTTACGGCTTATGAAACCGTTCAATCTTGAATTCCATCATACACATCTTATTGTTTAATACCCTTTAACCCACAGGAAGTACCAAAACCTGCCATAAGATTTGTTGCTGTTTGTGGGATGTGAAACCCTGGCTGTAGGTTCGATTGTAGTAGTAAAATATTTCTTTAGTTTTGTTTACCGATAATCTATCAAGTGCATCCCCATGACCTTTGGGGCTGGGTTGTAGGGCTGGGTGCCCGGTCTTAAGCCTATAGTTATGGTATAGGTGTCTGTAGGTTCGACTATATATACAGTAGTGAAATATTACGGTAAGCCAAATAACCTGTAATCTGTCAAGTTCATTACCCTGATATTTGGGGGTAGTTTTGGGGGGTTGTAAGGGATTGTAGGGCTTCGTGCCCATTGAGACTTTGATCAGCATGACGAGGACTATCAAAATGCGAAGTTACATAAAAATTGACCGGTGTTCAATTTCCATATGTTTTGTGCGGGGTTCTTTGTAATTAATTAATTATTATAAGCGAAAACAATTTCTAGATGAAATTTCGTATTTCTGCAAAATGTCTAGAATACGATTACATTCTGGGACAAAAACGGTGTAAGTCCTTATGAATTAAATGTCTCCTCTTACCAGATTTTCAGAAAAATGAAATTTTATCCTTCGCAAAATTTGTTTAGTTTTTCAATTAAAATTGGGTCTTTTAGGACCACGGTTCTGGTGAAGGTCCACCACCAGGGGTGAACGTTTATAATGAGGATGACTATCGTTCACCCAGCGAAGATTCAGGTCTGGGAATGGGTATTTCTGATAGAACTCCAAGGTAACCATCTAAAATCTATCACACAACTACACAACAGCTAGAAGAAATTTTTTATTTTCCATACGAAACAAAATTTAGAAAAAAATCATAATAACAGTAGAGAAACATTAACAAGAACACTGACGAGGATACGTCCTCATGTTTATTAAACATACTTACCGATTTTAGATTATTTGAAAGACAATATATATTTTGAATGAATACGACGTGTAGATTTGAAGAATTGTTTGCAACTGTAATATCAGTATTTGTAAAAGTAACTTATTGTTATAAAAATTGGAAGACAGACGCTTTATTTTTTTCATCTCTTTCACAAGATAAGTTGTTACTAAACAGCGTGTAACTTAAGTTAGTGAGAATAGGTGTTTTCCTGGATAGTTTCAAGAAAAAAGTTCGTGAGATCTTATGTACCACGCGGCTTAGTTTATCTTTGAAAACATTTGATGCAGTCTGATGACACTTATCCAAGGAATCACCTACTGAAATATTTTTAAGTATTTTAGTTACATATTGTATGTATAAGTGATAAATACATCTAGATCATTTTTTATTGAATGGTGTCTTCTGGATTCCTCATATAAACTATACCCTATCTTTTTTAATCTTTTCAAATAAAGCCGAAATTGGGGATATTCTCCACAAATGAATACCTGATATAAAATACTTTATAATAAAATGATCTGAAACTCACAACCTGAATACTCATTTAAAAAAATACTCGTGAATGAATGACAGCAAAGCAGCATTCTGAATGAGAGCGCAAAAATACATAGTTTTACTACTTCCTGTAAGTTTATGTTCGTTAAATTTATTGTTGTTTTGTTTTTATCAATTAATGAACTCCATCTGTTCTACTTTGCCTTCACTTGTTTTACTGATAAGCGTGTGTGAATGAAAGGATAAACGTCATGTAGAACTGATAAAATTGATTGAAAAATTTGATACACTTTCGGTACTAGTTTTATGATGCAGGATTCCAAGGCACTATTCGGACATTTCTATACGTAATCGAACAACATTTAAACATTTAGAATAAAGTTAAGAGCGCCTCAAATGTTTCCTTTAAACATTAATAATGTTTCGCGTTTCTAGAACTCGCCCACCAAGTGCCACAGGAAAAATAGTAACAGGTTATAATGACGAAGATCACCAAACCCAGGTGACTACTAATTGTGTTTTTCATCCTGTTCTCTTCTTTCTCTATCTTCGTAGGCTTGTAGAAATGCAAAATAAGTTTCAGCTGCCATTTTTTTATCCACAGTAGCCGTGCCTGAGACCTATTTTGCTTTAGAGCACTGGCACCAACATATCTCTATCATACTCCCCTTGCACCTCTATATACCTGTCTTGATCTGTTTAGACATTATACGTTTAAATGTTTGTGCTTCTTGTTTAGAGTAGTTTTAGATTTAGGTCTAGTGATATAGAATAACAGAGTTACTTATTCTGGTTGGCGACATGAAATCTGATACACAAAAAATTGAAAATTGTTGAAAAATTTCAACAACACAAGTTAAAACTGAAAGCTGAAATAAATATTTTGGCCTAGCGTTAGGAAACAGTTAAAACTCATAAGATAAATACCTACCTCTTAAAAACGTTGAGGACTGTTATCAACAAATCGCATTCGCGTTAAAAGAAAACTATTTTTTTTTTTCAAAGAGCTGCTATGATTTTTCCAACTTCATTCATGCGAGGGTATTTAAAAATAATAGAAAAATGTCACAATTGACAATGTTTATAACATTCAAATTTTTTATAATCACAGGATACAATAAAATTTAGTACAAAGTTATGAGTAGTATTGGAACAGGTCATTGCCACGAAAACTAACATTGCTTATACAGGCTGTTACAAATTCGCTTCTCACTACAGGGATCTCGGAAACGGTAAGAGGTACGAAGTAGCTTAAATGGGGGCAAAGTTGCGTAATCAGAGGACCAAGATTATGCCTCTAAAAAATCAAGGCTAACATGATTAGTTTTCGAAATATTTGAAAAAAACCGAGATTTTAGGAAATCCGTTTTTGTTTAATTTCAGCCTTGTTTGAGGAGATATTGAAAAAAAATAACAGTTTCTCATGGCCCTCTATCGAATGGAATAATCAATTTTTATATCTAACGTTTCGTTTCTCCAGGACCATCATCAACTTAATAATTTTGTTAAATACGACCCTAGAAATTGTATTACATTTGCAAACCTTCATGACCCCCAATACTGTATTGCCTCAGCCCGAACCAGATTCAGATGTTTTGTCTCGAAAAATTCATCTTCACTGTATTCGTTCCAAATTTATCTAAATTTTTTATTTAGATTTCTTTGTTTATTGAATTATCGCACACTGTAACTGTCGTTAGACCCTGTGAACTCCATCTAGTTATTTAAACTATTACCACCAAACACTTAATAATAAATGTTTTAACTTGTTGGTACCTATATCATAATTTAGTGTTACCCTTGCCCTTTACAGGTACCAAAATTCCACTTGATATCACGCTCCTAGAAAGAGTTACTACCGTACACCCTTGCATCTGTCAAATTTTTTCTTTAAATATTAATATCTCAAATTCTATAACTCTTAGGTACAGGGCATATTTAATAAAGCGATCCTCAAATTTCACGTAGAATCCGAAAATGGAATAATATAGTTATAGGATGTCCCATTTAAAATAACGAAGTTGGTGTCGAATTCCGGTATAACCGGAAGTGGTGGATAGTTCTAGATATTTTAGTTGTGTTCGCACCAGTTCGCAGTTCCCGGTGGCACACTCTGTATAGTATAACAGTAACGTTATCCACAAATTCTTTGGATGAGCTTTGCCATTTTTCAAGATTAATTAATTCAATTAAAAAAAATGTACCTATGCTTCTTATTTATATGTATTATAATTATTCCTTTTATTTTTTTTCACTCGTAAAATTTTGATTTATGAGATATTCTTTTACACGTGATATTGATCCATCGTTTTGTTTAATTTCCCAAGATCTACAAAGCCTTACAAAAATGTTCTTGTGTGAAACCGACTCGGATATGTTCTTGCATAAGTCTACAACCAAATTAACGTTAATATTCGGATTTAAAATATTTATTTTCCCTTAGCATAAAATATGAGCTTCCAATTTGGCATTTATAAAAATGAATTGAGGAGAGTTAAAACCGAACATTTTCCAGCATATTTTTTCACTCGTTTTTATTAAAATATTCGCAGTGTGCATTCGTGGAGGTGGTTGACATATTAAACACATCATTTTTGATACTAATTTCCTGTTGTTTTGTTTTCTGTTCTCAATCATTCGATATCGATTTTCAGAAGTTCAGATATTTCGAAATATACCAAGTTTTCTTTACGAATACCCAAGCCTTAAGCATAAACAAACAAAAATGTTCATATCATGTAACCAAAAAGTAGCAATATCTTGTAAATTGAGCCCCTTTTCTCAATTCGTTTTTTTAAAATTAATATCGTGAAAAGAATTTCCCGGCATTGGATAAAAATTGTGTGCAAAACTTAGTGGAATATCTTACAATCTTATTTTTTTTTTAAATTTTAACTTTGACACTCTTGAAACAGAGTCGGTTAAATGAAGAAAGGCGTAAGGAAAGTTCCAAACTATCTATAACTAGAAATATTCTTTAACTCTATATCCAATAATTGAATTGTATACCTTAAAATACTTTTGTTGTTATTTTCTGAAATACTTTCACATCATGAAATTCCGTATATTGGTAGCAAATTTGTCTTTTGATTAAATTTCACTTTTCATATAACAAATATATCCAAGTAATAATGTTATATTAAATTATTGTAATCAATAACATCCCTTTGTAAAATTTCGACACAATTAATGTTAATTTCTATGAACTCAAACGTTAACTAAAAAATCGGAAAAATATTACAACCCTCTGAAATAATAGTCTTGAGAGGTTCATATAAAATTTTCATTATTAACGTATGTGGCTGCAAAGACTAAACTTTACCAACTAATAAAACTTCTTAATATAAGAAAAAAGTTCCCCTAAAAAATGAGTTGAAAATGCTTAGTTTCTGAGATACACAGCTCTCAACTTTTCAAAATGGCTTTTAGAATACACCTACTTAAGACGCCTAAAGATAAACAATAAAAATGTACATACAACTTTTACAAAGTTTTATAAAGTTCATTTGATTTAACTATTTATGGGCAAAAATGTGTCACTACACAAAGCTGTTAACCATGGGCAGAGATACTAGGAGATATCGTCTCCAAGAACCCTAAAATTTCGATGCCAGTGAATGTTTTAGGAATTGGATAAATGCGTTCAATCTTGGTTAGCGTGACTAAGAAAACAGATGTGACTTCTATTTTATTAAACGAAAGACGAGCCATTTATGACTAATAGCTCTTTTTTTAATTATAATTAAAATAAGCGCTCCATGTAGTTGAATACGTTGAAAATGACTCCAAAACAGATCGTTTCACAATAAAAATTCGTTGCAATTATTTATTAAACATTAAATTTTAATTGTAATTGAGAAAATTTAAAAAAACATTATTGTAGGAATTTTAAATTTTGTGGGGAATAACGCTTCAAAATATGTAAAATTGTAATGCCAATGATTTTCTTTTAGCTACTGACGGATGCACTGTAATTAAATTAAGATGTAGTAATAGTTGTTTCCGATTTATTCAACTATATAATTACTGAAAATTAAACCGTAATTAAATGCATTTATATAATTCACAAAATATTTAGTAGAATAGAAATCCTGGAGTCCTTAGTGATGACTTCTTAGCATCGTTAATGCTTGACAAAGTTGCCCTGTCGTTACCCCAAACTTCATCAATCTAAATTAAGCATTTTATCACGTATTTATATAAATGTGATAATGTGTTATTTTTTTTAAGTATCAACAAAGCATGGATATTTCTTCGTATTTTCTGGTGCTCTACTCCAGATAAAGTTTGTCGTGTGCGATTATCGATCAGATCCTACATATGCATATGGATATTCTAGAATCTAAAACTGAGACTGAAAAATATACTCACAGTTTTTTAGTAAAAGTATCCCTACAAACCGTTGACGATTCGTCAAATTCCCAAAACACCCGGATATAAGTATATTTATATTTCCCAGGGAACGAAACTTCTCGAGTAAATTTCAATTTGAGTTCATATTTTTTATGGTGCTTCTAGTTCATGTAATGCAGTAAACTTCGGTACTACTCGAACCTTACATTACTGCTATAGCCATTTTATTGCAGGAATACGTGAGTGGAGACGAGGAGAATCCTGCAGAGACGAGGAGCAGGCGGCACTCCAGTCCTGGGGAATCGAGGTCTGGGAGCACAACGGCTTTGCACCAACAGGATTACCCGGATTCGGTAAGTGTACAGGCTTCAGTTTTATTTATTTACCAAGCAACTCCGCGAAAGTCCCCCGTTTGAGTATTTCACGATTTTAGATCTGGCTTCCGCACGGTTTTTGTACATACAATAACTGGGGTTGGACCAGACAGGACAATTGAAATAAATGTGAAATATATATTGTTCGCAATCCCTTATTATTTATTTGTAGAGTAATATTGCATCATAAAAAATATTGAGCAAATTTTCACTCAAAATCGACACCACTTTTTGTTGAAGTAATGTTCTCCATTTGTTAGCTAAATAAATTTTATATTGGTAAATTTTGAGTCATATTCGTTGATTACAACTAAGTAAACGAAATCGTTGCAGATTTTCTCTTTCTCGTATATTTTAGTTTTTCTAACTAAAACTTGTGTTGATAGGTTCATTTTTTTGTTAAAATATTAAGTTCACTAAAAAATTCATACCAAAAATGCCAAAATAATTTCACTCATAAATAACTGAATTTACACTATGTTACTTTTACTATGTGTAAGTAGTTTAAATCCATATTTTTGGGACTCCACACCTGTAGCGTCAGCCGCCACCTTAAATTTAAGGGTGAATTCGTTTGTATTAAATACCTCACTTATTTTAAATTTTTAACAAAATATGGTTGTAATCAAACTTATTGGATATTTAATTTTCTACAACTTTGGTATTTAATATTTTTCGTCAACGATCGGTATGACAAACATGAAAAATGGGAGTGAAACTAAATTATTGCATTATCTTGTTTATTTGTTTAACTTTAGTGCATAGTGCATTTAGATCATAAATAAAATTGTGGGAAACAAAATTTTCTACAACCTTTTTCCTCCTAGAATCAATATTCTAAGATCTACGATCTACGTGACGAATTAATTATTTCGCGAACATTCGGAAATTGGGTGGTTTTCTATATCTGTGATTCGAATTTGATTTTTTCCACAGTACAACTCGTCTCTGCACCACAACAAGGGTCGCGTTTTACTCGCGATTTTTTAATAATAATCAACGCATTTAGCTTTCGAGATTTTTTTCGGTTCTTATTTTTCTTGTAAATTCGTGAAATTGAAACTGTGTTTTTTTTTGCCTTGACAGTCTTGCCAAATTCACATAATTGTTTCAATTTCGTAAATTTCAATATTTCTCAGCGGTTTTATGTTAATGTTGGAGGTTCGTCTGTATTATTTTCCTGACCATAGATAAGCTTGATTATATCCAAAAATCAGGGTTAAAAGGAACTATAACATTCAAGCAAGGTTCATTTTAGATGAAAAAACCGCGGAATGCTATTAAATTAGAGGGTGGAAATTGGAGGTAGGGGTGAAAATGCACCCCTTTCAATTTTTTAATTGTAGCTCGAAAACGAAGCATTATATTCGCTATAGTTTCACTATAGTTCATAGGAAAAATTATTTAGGGAATAGGATTTCCCATCAAAATGGCTTATTTATTTTATGAAAAAGATCGTTAATAAACAATTTGAAAAAAAAGCAAAAAATTCAATTTTTAAATTTTTCTTTACTTTTTTGCCTCAAGTTTTTTTTTTTTTTGAGGAAAGATAGGTAGAGCCGTTGCTTCATAAAAAAAGTAGATAAAATTGCCTTCAAAAAAAGAGATTGTACAATATTTTTGGATGAAAATATATGGCCGCTCAAACTTAACCATTTTTTCGATTTTCGTCGTGTTCACCCATATACGTTTTAATTCTCATTTTTTACAAAAAAGGAAGGCACTAAGACATTCAAGGATTTTTATCACATGACTTGTTCGAAGGGTTATTAAAAATGAAAAAACCGCGGGATGCTATTAAATTAGAGAGTTCAAATTAAGGATAGGGTTGAAAATGCACTTTTGCTGTTTTTTAAATATAGTACGAAAACGAAGCAAAATTTCGGTATAGTTCATAGGAAAAATTTTGCAGAGAATTGAATTTTCCATCGAAATGGATTATTTAAGAAAAATTTTATGCAAAAAATCGTTAATAAACAATTTTAAAAATGCAAAAAATCTGACTTTTTGATTTTTTTACTTTTTTGACTCATATTTTTTTTAGTAGAAGTAGGCAAAGAAAATTGCTGTATAAAAAAACTAGATGAGATTCTATTCAAAATGATGCTTTTTTAGAAGTTTTTGGACTAATATTGACCGAGTTATAACCGGTCAAACTTAAATATTTTTTAGATTTTCGTCGTTTTTAACATAATTATCATAATTCTTATTATTATTACAATGAATTGGTTTTTTACTTAATAAAAAATTATTTCAAAAGTTTTATTTGTTAATAATAAATAAAGTTTTTCACAACTGTATTTGAGACTAAGTATGAGAGATTTTTCAAATGAAATTACAGTTTATCATACTATATTTCTTTTTTACTATCTCAAATAAGGAGATTTATAATAACATATATACATATATAAATGATTTAATTTAAAAGCTACTTATTAATCATTATACTCAAATATTGTTTAGAATTTAAAAGCATTTAGATTTGTAAAATGAAATAATTTTAAATGTATTTCATTTCTGTTTCGTTACAGGTCTGCAAAGTCGACTTTTGCCGTTACTTTTTTGTAAAAATAATAATTAATAAGAATTATAATCATTATTACGTTAAAAACGACGAAAATCAAAAAAAATATTTAATTTTGACTGGTTATAACTCAGTCAATATTAGTACAAAAACAAAAAAGTAAAAAAAATAATTTTTTGTTTTTTTCTTTTAAATTTTTAAAATCAGCCATTTCGATGGGAATTTCAATTCTCTACAGAATTTTCCCAATGAACTATATCGAAATTTTGCTTCATTTTCGTGCTATATTTAAAAAACTGGAAAAGTGCATTTTCACCCTTATCTTCAATTTCAACCCTCTAATTTAATACGCGGTTTCTTCATTTTTAATGACCCTTCGAACAAGTCATACCATGAAAATCCTTGAACGTCTTATTTCCTTCCTTTTTTGCAAAAAATGAGAATTAAAACGTCGGTATTAGGGTAAACGCGACGAACATCGAAAAAATGGCTAAGTTTGAGCGGCCATATATCAGTTTTCATCCAAAAATACTTTACAATCTCTTTTTTTGAAGGAAATTTTCTCAACTTTTTTTTTTGAAGCAATGCCTATCTTTACTCAAAAAAAAACTAGAGGCAAAAAAATTTAAAAAAAAAATAAAAAAATTGAATTTGTTGCTTTTTTCAAATTGTTTATTAACAATTTTTTGCATAAAATTTTGCTTTCCAAGATATTCCTAGCAACTAACGAATTAAAGTAAGGACCAATGTTGTAAAGAAATTTATTTGTCTATAACCGTTTATGCGCTACATTTAAAATTTAATTTCATTTCCTTTTTTCTGATTTAAGTTGAAACATGTCAATTGTGGACGAATGGCCAACGTTGTAGAGAATAAAATTTTCGACAAATTTGATTATAACCATTTTTAGTCAAAGTTGAAGATAAGCGAGGTTTTTAATAAAATAAATTCATTTTTAATTTCAAGATGGCGGTCGTCGCTCCGATACGTATGGAATCTGGAAAATCTGGATTTATACTATCAATGATCTTAAAAGATTAGAAAAAGTAAATTTTTGTATCCAATTAATACAATTTCAAATATTCACATAAAATTCTAGCCTGCTGTCTTTTTTCCATTCTATCTTGAAAAAGGAAAAAAAAGTAAAACCGAATTCTTAGAAAATTTACATGCAATCCCAAAGAAATATATAAAAAAACAATTGACTGTTGTATTTCAGAGGCATAAATCAAAGTTTTATTCTTTTAAATGGAATATCCTGTTGTTGCTTTTTTAAATAAAGTAAATATTGCCATGGAACCAGAGCATATTTATGCTTTTCCTCTCTAAAATTTACTAAACAGATACTTAGCAAACATTTTATTAAGAAAATAAAATGCCGCAGCATAAAACGTGTTTTATAAAAATAACATCATGTTCCCAAGTATTTTTTTTAAATATGTTTCTCTTATGAAGGGATTATGTTATAATTTGGAAGAAATCCAAATGTGATCTCTATGTAGTTCTTTCTACGGATAATTCTGAAAGATAAAGTAAACAAAGTAATAGTTTATACGACCTCAGGGAGAAAAAATTGAACGAATTTAATACCACCAATGGGGTGAATCTTTCTGGGAATATATACCCTTTGTCTAGAACATAATGAAAGTATTATAAAACAATTTGTATAATAAGAACGTTACTAATATAGAATACAAAGATTTATTTGATAGAATTAATAGCAGAAAATAACTAGCAAATAGTGGCAATTTTGATGATGCGTAAAATCAGCAAATAAACCAAAATGTCGTGCAAACTATCAAAGCAAATATATGACATGTATATATTAATATATTCAGACAACGAAGAGCAATACAAAATTTGATAAATATAAGATGTGTTTCATTCAATAATTGTTGTTTTTCACAAAACAGTTTCCAAGAATTTTGATCTTTGCCATTTTCTCTAGATAGAAAGGCAGAAAAGATAAGGGAGGTAGATTGGTATGTGATGACATAGCGATTGGGCTATTAGTAAAATTATTCGTACATAAAGTCACTTTTCCAGATTATGGTGAATCATGACAAGAAACATAAATATCAGTAATAAGTTGTTTTTTTTTATTTTCAATAAACTTGGTACGCGTAGTAAAGGATGACTTATCTTAGTCACAGTTCTAACGTCATGATTTTACAATTCGTGATTTTCAAGGTAAAGGCTTGTTGAGAAAATCTTAATAAGCTGATTGATGAATCAATGTGATATTTAAATTTTATCTGTTCTTTTTACTAATTTAGTCAATAATTGCACCAGCGTTTCCTTAGAAACTAAAAGGCATATTTTAAATCAGTACTAGTTATAGACAGAGGACAGTAAAGGGTGACTTGGTAATATTTCATTACCAAGTAATGAAGGTAATATTTCATTACCTTCATACTTGTTGATGGTGATGTGAACAGAAATTTTCGATCACGCGAACAAA